TTAGGTTGTTTATTTGAGATTTTTCTTGTTTCTTGAGGTGAGATTGTATTGCTATAAACTTACCTCTTAGAACTGCTTTTGCTGTGTCCCATAGGTTATGGGTCATACTGTTTTTGTTGTCATTTGTTTCTATGTATCTTTTAATTTCTTCTTTGATTTCTTCAGTGATCCCTTGGTTATTTAGTAGCACACTGTTTAGCCTCCATGTATTTGTGTTTTTTATAGTTTCTTTTCCTGTAGTTGATTTCCATTCTCATAGCGTTGTGGTCAGAAAACATGCTTGATACGATTTCCATTTTCTTAAATTTTCTGAGGCTTGATTTGTGACCCAAGATGTGATCTGTCCTGGAGAATGCTCCATGTGCAATTGAGAAGAAAGTGTATTCTGCCACTTTTGGGTGGAATGTTCTGTAAATATCAATTAGATCTATCTGGTCTATAGAGCACTGATTATTTTTAAAATAGTCTTGTTTGTTTTATTAGTAGCTTAAGGGAAAAGCATTAAATTATACTCCACCTAGCCCATAGCATTTGCCTCCATTTTGCAGACTTCTGATTTCCACTCCAGAGGTTCATAGTTGTCATTTTCTTTTGGTTGAATAGCCCTGAAATAGTTTGTTCTTCTGGAAGAAGCCTGCCGACAGATTGAGTAGGGTCATCATCTTTATTAATAGCAGCTAGAGCTTAGGTGGGAAAAAGATGTGTGGGATGGAAACCTTTTCAGTTAAACAATGTCCTCTGCATCAGTGATGAAAACCAAGACTCCAACTACAATAGGCGACATTCATCCCCTGTGAATCTTCTCCCAGAGGCTTGCAACTCGGGGACACTGGGTGTGCCAGCACACACAAATTCGGATTAACCAGACAACATAGAGATGGCCCCTGAAACCTCAGCTAATGAGAGGCAAAGTGTTCTACTTGTTTGTTTTATTTATTAATTTTATTTTGCTAACTCTTTCAAACCCAGACGTTTAAGTTTTTCTTTTACCTGTGCATGTTTGAAGGCCACCGCAGCCATCTCTCGACTATTTGGGAACCAGTACTAGTTGTTGAGGAAAGCGGAATCCAGATGTTCCACTTATTTACCTAACAGATACCTCGGTAGCATTTACTGTCTACTAGGATTGGTCAGAGTGCTTTCGAAATATTAATTCATTTAAGCTTAAGAACAACCTGACAAGGTAGGTACTCTCATCCCCACTTTATGGATGAGGAAGCGGAGATGCAGAGGTTTGTTGGCCACATAGCTGGGTTCACACTCAGGCTGTCTGGTTTCTACCCACCCTGCCCTTCCGCCTCTCACTGTGCCTGGTTGCCCCTTGCTCCGCCCTGTGGCTTCTCTGCTGGGAAGTAATTGTTGGTGGTGGAGCTGGGATTTGAACCCTAGTCTCCTAAACCCTTGTCTTGTGCTCTCTCCACTATAGGAAGTTTCTACACAATGAGAGATTCATCTCACACCATTTTTATTACAGGAGAGGGAGGGAATTCAAATTAATTAGAGAAGGGATGAACAGTGTAGTTTAAAAGAGGATTTGTGGGATTATTGATAACTAGCAAATAATTTTCTTGTTCAATTAAGAAACATGCTTTCTGGGGGAAGTAATGTACAGCATGGTGATGATAGTCAATAACATTGTACTGCATATTTGAAAGTTGCTAAGAGAATAGATCTTAAAAGTTCTTATCGGGGGCTTCCCTGGTGGCGCAGTGGTTGAGAGTCCGCCTGCCGATGCAGGGGACACAGGTTCGTGCCCCGGTCCGGGAGGATCCCACGTGCCACGGAGCGGCTGGGTCCGTGAGCCGTGGCCGCTGGGCCTGCGTGTCCGGAACCTGTGCTCCGCAACGGGAGAGGCCACAGCAGTGAGAGGCCCGCGTACCACAAAAAA